GACCGAGTGAGGGCTGAGGGTGAGGGCCTAGGGTTTTTTCTTTTTAGTTTTGGTTTTGGGTTAGCGGGTTTGTAACTATAAGATGAGGACCCGATTACCCGAATCAATATTACATTGCGGATATCCGTATCCGCAACCCTCATATCCGTTACCGAATCCGTATCCGAAAAAAAATCCGAAACCGACCGCCAGTCTGTCTGGCTGGTTCCTTCCTGTTTCCTGTAATTCTTCATCTATCTCTTAAATAATCCTGAGAGAAGTCCTACAAAAATTACAGACAGATTTTATCGCTGTCTATTCTTTCTGTGTTCCACTTTCTTGCATGAAAGCCACTGATTACAAAAAGACAATCAGTTGCAAAAAGTCCTAACACGGCAGTTTTATCTAATGTAGCGGTTTATTGGCACCAAGGATAACAATTTTCTTGGCTAAGGCAACAGTTAATTTCTATGAACTGCACTCAAGGGCCACAATTATTCTGACCTATAGTAGCAGTTCTCTCCTTTTTTTTTAAACAAAAAACTAGCAGATATCCCCCGCGTAACGCGGGGGAAAAGAAAGAATCAAACTCTATTTGAACAATAAATTGTAAACAGATTTCTCTAAAATCATTCATCTCAGTCATCATAAATTTTAATAGAGAACGTACATTGTACAGAGAGATGGCTTTACAAGACGCACTAGTACAAAGGAGGGCTGCCCCAACGGTTGAAACCGTTGGGGCAAATCATGACCCCAACGGTTAGAACCGTTGGGGCTAAAAAAACAACCGTTGGGACAAATTACGTTGGGGCTGACCCAGCCCCAACGGTTGCCAAGGTTGCCCCAACGGTTGGAACCGTTGGGGCTAATATTCGCCCCAACGGTTCCAACCGTTGGGGCAAAATATTTTTCTTTTTTAAAAAAAAAGAAAAATATTTTGCCCCAACGGTTGGAACCGTTGGGGCAAATATTAGCCCCAACGGTTCCAACCGTTGGGGCAATTAGGCAAATCAAATAAAAAAAATAAATACCTGACCGTCTTCAAAAGCATACACAGATTCAATCAAAAACTGCAAATCAATCATTGATCAAAATAAGTACCATAAACTACAGTAGGAACTGTGTCAAAGTGCCAAATGCAGGTGGATGCAGAAATCCTGCTTTTGCTTTCATGTAAGAAAAAAGTTACTGAAAAAGTTTGAGTTCTGAGAGGTTGATATTAAATCAACATACATCAATACCCGAAATGGTTTCTTTATCTCACACGAACGAGGAGACATGATTATAAACTTGAAGGAAGAAAACATACTAATATATTCACACTTATTCCCAAGTACTTCATCCATAATTTTTCAAGGTTTTGGCCTGTAACCATGTGGGTTCTTGCTTGCCCACATCCACTGGTCTTTGCACATCTCCTATGTGCCATACTTCGCTCTGCAAGTTGCATAAAAATTTTGAGCGTGATTCTTAATAAAATAAGATAAAGATTATTCGAAGTGAAATAAGAAAAAGAAATTTATGAAGAACTTACTTCCAACCAAGTTCTTTGAGAGCTTTTTCAGTGGAGGCGTAAACAGCTGTGGCATCACCTGGCCTCCTCGGACATAACTTGATAGGGATTTTCTACAGTTGAAGAGATGAAGTACAAGAAATGATCCAATTCACGAGTTGGGTATACGTATTAAATATACAGGTCGAGATGGAGAAACAATTTCAAGCAACTCACATTTCCAAAGGCCTTTTCAAATGCAGTGACCATTTCAAGCACAGACATCCCACATCCAGTCCCCAAATTATAGGCGACACAACCTGGAAAATATTTCAAACCCAAATGTGTAAAGAAAAATTCAAAAGAAAAAGATGGGTACATATGTTTGTGTGAGATAGAGATAGAGATAGAGAAGGAATGAACCTATGTCTTCTGTGATAAAGAGTTTTCTGAGAGCTGCAATATGGCCATCAGCTAAGTCCATCACATGAATATAATCACGAATCTAATTCAGAAAAAGGAAAAGAGTTAAAACAACCAGATAAGTAAACGGTTATCCACTTAAGAGAAATGTTCTAGGGAAAGCCAGTACTTACAGCGCTACCATCCTTTGTTGGGTAATCATGGCCATACACGTTCAACTCAGGCAGCCTGCCAACAGCAACTTGCTGAATGTAAGGCATAAGGTTGTTTGGAATGAGTAAGATGAAACCGGACTACTATAAATGAAGTAAATACTCATGTCAAGAGGAATGAAAAGCCAAAAGGAACAATGAAACTCCAAGTCATGTAATGGAAAAATAAAAAGTCAAGTGACTCGTATTTATAAGGAAAAAAGAACAAAGTCCAGCTACTATAAATGGAGTAAATACACAAGTCAAGAGGAATGAAAAGCAAAAAGGAAAAATGAAACTCTAAGTCATGTAATAGAAAAATAGAAAGTCAAGCAACTCATATCTATAAGGAAGAAAGAATAAAGTCAAGCAACATCATTCACATTCAATCAGTCTCAGGTCTTGAGATAATTTGTACAAACTACAAACAAAATCAGATACAAAATGGAGCCATCACTTCGTTAAATTTTTAAAGATTGCTGAAATTAGCCACAAGTGAAATTTACAAGGAAGAATAACAAATTTCTCCGTAGTAATTCCATAATTTAACCATGTAAAAGATATCTTCTAGCTCCCATTGTCAAGTTCTGTCACTGCAAATAAGATTAATCTCATGAAGTCTTTTTGCACTACAATTGCTGCTATTATTTAACCTTGAACCAGAAAGTAATGACATTGAGAACATAAAATAAAAACGTTCTTGCTCAAATTATCAAAATTCGACAACACGAACAAATTGGAAGCTGAAGAATCTGTCATATTTGCAATGATGCCATCAGCACAGAAACCTGGAACTCATAATGAATCTCATATGAATCAAATTATTGACCATAATGTTGGACATGAATTTCTACATCCAACATTCAAATTTTCTGCCGATAGAAACATACCAAAGAACAGTATATAACAAGTAGTCAAGCACTAAAACTACTACTAAAAGAATACATCATCTGAATATAAACCTTAGCCTGAATTAAACCATGTATGTCATTCTGACACGAATAATGTTCATATGAGGCACACTCATATTCGCTGAGCCAGCTCGACAATTGCTCCCGAGAAATGCATAGAAGTAATTAATGACCAGCTTCTTCAAGAACCATGAACTTTATCAAAAATTGAAAGAAAAAAATGTTACGAACCTTGTCAAAATCCTTGTTAATTGTCTTGAGGTAATGATCAGAAGAGTTCGTCAGGGGCGGACATGGGAAACCATTCGATACGAAGAACTGAAAAAAGAGGAATGAAATTTGATTCATTTTGTTCTAGTAACTCAGTAAGAAAAATTCACAGAAACATTTGAGCATACAAGGAATGTTGAAACAGCAAGCAAAATCAACAAAATAATAGCAGAAATTTTAATTAATAGTATTTCTCTTGCACTTCACTAATAATTCATGAATGACTGGAAGCCAACATTAACTTGCCAAGAAAAATATATGTTCAGCATGCCCATCAACATCGCAGCATCGATTGAGCTCTGTACCATCACGTCAATACTATCAAAATAAACATAACAATAGAAGATTCGATTGTAAAAAATGAGGTGTGCAAATTAATTGATTAAATATAAAACTAACATCTCATTTTAATTAAAATTTTAATTAAACAAGTAATATACTTGCAGCAAACTGCTGATTGAAGATAATCATCAACAAACTTAGATGATAGAAAAGTCCATGCTAGTTTTACATGCTAGGAAACCATTTAGTTGGCAGAAGAAAGGGAATCTTGGACGGAGATCTCCACAGAGATAACTGCAGGGTCCGATTTGGGGAGGAGGAGAGGCGGTGCAAATGAGCTTGAGAGGTAGAGCACTTACAAGTCAGGTGCCGGCGAAAATGAGGAGGAGGACAGGTGGCGAGTCCGATTTGGGGAGGAAGAACTAGGGTTTTTTATGGGGATTCGGCGGCAAACTGCAGATCGACGGCGGCGAACTTCAGGGCTCGATGGCGGCAGCGAACTCCGACGGTGGCGGCGAACTCAGAGAAGGCGCAAGGGGTTTGGGGCTGGTTTTCTAATGAGAGAGAGCAATAGATCGGGAGAGAGGGGGAGAAAGAACGGGGGTTTGGGGGGTTCTGATGAGAGAGAGTGAGAGATTGAGAGAGAGAACGGTGATTTTGGGGTTTTTTCTGATGAGAGAGAGCAACAGATCGAGAGAGAGAACGGTGGGGGGGGGGGGGGAACTTCCCTCTCTCTGCATTTTGGCTAAATCAATTTGCCCCAACGTTTTAGACCGTTGGGCCTAGTGAAACCAGCCCCAACGGTTCTTTACACACGTTGGGGCTGAGCATCTTTTTACTAGTGACGCCAAGTTCCTTTTTCTTCTTACTATTACATGAGTATTATTGTATGACATTGTTTCCTTTTCTACTACGAATTATTCTGAGACCATCCACCATCTTGTAGCCCCATGGTGACAGGCAATTCCAACATTTTGTCAAATACAAAATTATGGGTGATCATTTGCATTCCATTTTCCGTTCCTTTTAATTTAAAAATAATCAAACCAATTAGATGTCTCTGCTATTCTTTCTGCATATGATTAACAACTTGAGGACATTCTAAGCAACAAATAATTTGACGTGATGCCTCCTATAGAATCATCGTAAGTACTAACAAGCTATTTAAATGAATATAAGAAAAACTATAGAATCACGAAAGTTCGCAAAAGAAATTAAACACTTAATACTATTTTTAACAACTTGATCTAATAGATTTCTTTAGCTAACAATAAAACTCATATTTATCCTAGAAATTGGTTTGATAAAACAATTGTAATACCCCAACCCTTGAGAGGGTGATATGATTAGTATTGATAGATTTGATTGAAATACTCATACCACCAAGATGCATCTTCTTTTCGGGAACCCAACTTTTAGAAACTCCAAAGTTAAGCGTGCTTGGCCTGGAGAAATTCTAGGATGGGTTACCCTATGGGAAGTTTTCCAGGGACCGCGTGAGTGAGAACAAAAACGTGCTGAAAAGACATGTGGTGGTTTGTGATGCCAGTCCATCAGATCTAATAGCGTACCGACTCCGGCATTCCGGGGCGAGGCGTTACAACAATGTTCACTAGATCCGAAGGATACCAGAACTTACATCATTATGTTTCAAAAATGAGATAAAAAATTACATATTGATGGTCAGAATATTTTTTGGAAGTTGAGATAATATAAATTGATTATCGATACCTTGCAGAAGCCTTTACAACATGTATGAATATTTTGTATACCATCACTTATATGCCTTAGCTACAGAAAAGCAAAAAGTGTCAGTTTTGGCTCTCGGTAAACATAGAGGTTAAAAACATCATCTATGGGAGATAAAAACGTGTACATCATTTGGATCACCTCCATCACAAATTTACTTGATATACAAAATAATAAGTTGTTATTGTGGGCTACTTAGTACTACCACCAATAATCTACTTTCAATCCAGAAATTCAAGGAAAATAATAAAACATGAGAGATTACATGTAAGCGGGCTCGAATTATCTGAAGGACTAAAATAATAAACTCAAAAGGCTATGAAATGAAACTAAAATGAAAGGTCATATGAGAAAGTAGTTTTCTATTAAGAACTCTGCCCTTCTGATTCAACAACTCTAAACCAAGAAACCATTAGTTAGCCATGAGCACAGGAAAACCTAAATAAAGTAATGTGAACGAAGAGGCTGTGAACGTGGGGGCAGTGGACGCGGTTTCACAACCGCGTGAGTGGACACGGATGCCCATGAATTTCGGTACCAGGCCCACCCGAAGAAAAAGAGAACGTGGGGGCAGTGGACGCGGTTTCACAACCGCGTGAGTGGACACGGATGCCCACGAATTTCGGTACCAGGCCCACCCGAAGAAAAAGCCTATATATAGGCTTTTGTTTCCTAGGGCAGATAGCAAGGAGTTTTGTTTAATTGTGATTTTCTTTTGCGGCTGAGGCAGAGGAAAATTAAGGGGCGTGCGGAGATTTTTCGGCTGGGTGCATTTGTGCGGCTACAGGAAAAAGACAGAGAGGAATAGTCTTGCGGCTACAGGAGCAGTTGAGGGAAGCAAGGAATTGTTTTTTCGGCTGTGATTTTTTCTTGTGGTTTGTGGTTGGGTTTTGTGCATCCTTTTGTGAGAGATATTTGTGAGGGATCTGAGAGTTTGTTTGAGGGTTTAGATTGTGAGTGGTTGTAAACCCTAGTTGTATTCTCTCCCTCTATTAGTGGATCTCCCCCCTCCTTGCCCCGTGGATGTAGGCAATTTGCCGAACCACGTAAAAATTGGTTGTATCGCTTTTGTGTGATTTGTAATAGCTTTTTAGGTTCCCTCGACACGCAGTCTTAGAGCTGACGAGAGGAAGAGCAAATATCCCACTTTGATGGGATATTAGGCTTCAGATTCTTGTTCCCTTTGAGAACCAAGAATTCTTATTGCGACCTGACTCTCTTGTTGTGCTGCCGAAGTGCTGTCGAAATTTCCGCTGAGCGCAACAAGTGGTATCAGAGCCCAGATTTCAGATCTAGGGTTTTTTGGTGGAGGAAGATTCTTGTGTGAAGCTTAGTTCTTGGAGTTCTCGGCTTCGGTGGAGATAGCATTATGAGTTTCCGTTGGAGATTTCGCTTTCCTCGTGTGGTTAGGAAATCTATTTGGAATCCAATCTAGGGTTCAGTTGGGTGATTCCTAATTTCTATCAAATTTGTTATTTCTCTATAATTTGGAGTTAGTTTGTAATGGGAGAAGAAGGTGAAAGCAGCAAATCGATGGCGAGTACAATACAAGTTGGTTTTCAGAACACCAAAATTAGTGTGGTGAAATATGACGGAAAAATCAACTTTGGTTTGTGGATGAGCGACGTACAGGATGCGCTCAATGCTCAGAACTTGGAAGAGACCATCATGGTCCACGAGAAGCCACCTAAATATGATGAGGCGGTATGGGAGAAAAGGAATAGGAACGCTTGTGGGGTGATCAGGGTTTGGAATAGGAGCTGAAATATGATGTGATTGGGGTGACGTCTGCGATGAAGATGTGGGAAATTCTCAACAATAAGTATCTCACAAAGAGTGTTGAGAACAGGTTGTACTTGCTGCGAAGACTCTTCAGATTTTAGATGTCCAGAGGCACCTCGCTAGCGGCTCATATGAACAACTACACTAAGTTGTTGTCGGACTTGGCGAATGTTGATGAGAAGATATCGGATGAGTACAAGGCGATTATTTTGTTGGGCTCCTTAACGGATGAGGAGTATGATACCTTCATGCTCACTTTGTTGAACGGGAGATCTTCTATCAGCTATAGTAAAGTGACTAACGCTTTGACAAATTACGATTTGAGGAGGAATGATAAGGAGACTTCCCGTGCTAGCACTTCAGGCGAGGCCTTGTCGACGAGAGGCGGAAGCCCATATCCGAAAGGTGGTAACAGAGGGAGGTCAAAGTCTAGAGGCCGCCACCAATTAACAAAGAACCAATGTGCATTCTGCAAGGAGCAGGGACATTGGAAGAGAGACTGCCCGAAGCTCAAAGAGAAGGAGAATAGCAAGAAAAAGGGCCCGAAGGCCAATGAGGTGAACATTGCGAAAGGCGATGATTCCGATGATTCGTGCTTTTCTCTACTGATTACTCCGGAGGTGAACCATGTGGATGCATCAGATTGGATGCTTGATTCTGGCGCTACCTTTCATGTGACCCCTAGGCGAGACTGGTTTGCATCTTTTGAGAAAGTCAACGGGGGCGTTGTTGTCATGGGAAATGATCAATCCTGTGGCGTTTGTGGGATAGGTACCGTGCAGATTAGGATGCACGATGGAGTAGTCCGTGAGTTGAAGGAGGTGAGATTTGTTCCTCAACTGAAGAAAAATCTTATCTCAGTTGGAGCTTTGGAGGCGAAGGGATTCAATGTGACTTTCGAAAATGCTGTAGCGAAGGTTACTAAGGAATCATTGGTGGTGATGAGGGGAGTCCGCAATCAAAATTTGTATTATCTGAAGGGAAGCACCGAGATTGGCCAGGTTGCTTTGGCTATTTCAGAAGCGGACATGAGCAGACTTTGGCACTATAGGTTAGGACACACAGGTGAAAAGTCACTGCAGGCATTGTGCAAGCAGGGGCTATTGAAGGGAGCCAAGAGTGGGAAGATTGAGTTCTGTGAGCACGGTGTTCTTGGTAAGAAGACGAAGGTGAAGTTCGGGACTGCCATTCATCAGACGAGGGGCATCGTGGATTACGTGCACACAGACGTTTAGGGTCCCACCAAGACTGCATCACTTGGTGGTCGACATTGGTTCGTCACTTTTGTAGATGACTATTCTAGGCGTTGTTGGGTGTACACCATGATGAAGAAGAGTGAAGTCCTAGATTTGTTTGTGGAGTGGAAGAAGAGATTGAAACTGCAGACTGGGAGAAAGATCAAGACGTTGCGATCCGACAACGGTGGTGAGTATACTTCTGACCCCTTTCAGCAGCTATGTCGAGACGAGGGCATAGAAAGACACTTCACAGTTAGTCATGCACCGCAACAAAATGGGGTGGCAGAGAGGTTGAATCGGTCTTTACTGGAGAAGATCTGATGCTTATTGTCGCAGAGTGGTTTGGAGAAGATCTTTTGGGCTGAGGCACTTACATATGCGAGCCACCTCATTAATAGGCTGCCTTCATCTGCGATTGAGGGGAAAACCCCTATGGAGATGTGGTCGGGAAAGCCAGCACATGACTATGACCAGCTCAAGGTATTCGGGTGCCCTGCATATTATCATGTTAGAACTGATAAATTGGAACCTCGAGCTAGGAAGGCCATATTTGTAGGATTCAAGCGTGGTGTCAAGGGATACAAGCTTTGGGATCCAGTTGATAAGAAGATTGTGCTGAGTAGGGACGTCACGTTTGATGAAGCTTCTATCTTGAAGCTTCCCAGCTCTCATCAGGTGGAGAGCGATCCGACGGAGGAGATATCGCAGGTGGTGGAGATCGCTGCAGCTCCACATTGTCCACATTGTCCAGATTGGTAGGGAAATAATACACTATGCTGCCTTATTACGGATTCTTCTGTATCTCCGAGGTACTAGCACTCGCTCTCTTCTGTTTCCTGCTACATCCAAGTTAGAGCTTTGTGCATATTCTGATGCTGATTGGGCTGGTGATCCCACTACTAGAATATCTACCACAGGTTATTGTATATTT